GATGTCTTACTTTCGGGGAAACAGGGTAAGTTTTCCCCTGGCTAATTTCCAAGCAGTAGGTTGCCCAGTCCTTCTTCCTAGTTGGTTACAGACTCTGCTGAGACCTATCATGGGTAAACCTGCTGGTATATGAAACACCAGTGGCATAGCTTTCATTATCACAGCAATCCACAACCATCACATCATGACAAACTAATGAACCAGGGGTAGATCAGACTATTTCTCATGTATGAATTAAGTCCTGATACAAGATACAGCATGTATAAACCTTCAAAACATTATGCTAAATCACAGTCACAAAAGAACAAGTATCATGTGATCCCACTTAATGAAATATGTAGAATTGGCAAATGTATAGGGCAAAGTTTATTCGTGGTTACCAAGGGCAAAAGAGAAAAGAGGAAATAGTTCCTTAAATGACACCAAGTGTCTGCTAAGGGTGATGGAAATTTCTGGAAATGCTACTGATGTTTCTACAACACGCTGAACTTACCGTCAGTGAATTACACATGCTGAAATGACAAATGTTTTGTTACAAATTTGTTTACTCCAATTTTTTTAATAAAGTGAAGACAAAATAACAAACTTTCACAGATAAAAAAACAGAAAATTTTTTTAAAAAACAGAAAATGTGCTGCTAGCAGATCCAACTTATAAGAAATATTAAACAAAGCTCTTCAAGTCAAATGCGAGTGACACCACGCAGTACCTCGTCCACACACACAAAGAACACCAGTAAAGGTAATACACACATTTTTTTCTTCACTTATTTCACTTGAAAAACAACTGTAAAACAGCAAATACAGAATGTATTCTTGAACCTATAATGTGTAGAAATAAGAAGGGGGACAGCGCTTTAGAGGGCTAAGGAAATGACTACAAAAGGTCAAGTAAAATTCTGTGTTGCTGGGTTTGTTAGAAAAACAGATACAAAAAGCAGAACAATAACACCACAAAATAGGAGAAGGAGCTAGAGTTAAGCAAGAGTTACATTATCTCCATTATTACTGGTGGTAATAAGTCTGAACTAGATGCTGTTAAGATGAATATGGTAAATTCTAGAGCAAACACTATAAAAAATAAGTTTAAAAAATCAATAATGAAACTGAAATGCTACATCAAAAAATATTCATATATATGCTAAATAAAACAGTAAAGTAAAAATGAAGGCACAGAGAGATATGGGATATATAGAAAAAGAAATGAAATCAAACAAAAGCACCAAAATAAATGGCATAAAAAGCAGAGTACAAAACTAAATATCCAACAGATATTTTTTTCAAAGACGTTAAAATCAACAACAGAAAATGGCCCCTTTATGCTATTAAACATATGATAATCGAGGACAAAGG